ACTTTTCCTCCCACCTTACTCTCCATTCCTCAACCCCATAGGAAGTCTTTGCCTCATGGCGGTGGAAGGTGAACGACCATCATCCACATGATCAAATGTCCCTTCTGGATGCAATGCATGCTGGATGCCTGGACATATCAGCAGTAGATTGCCAGGGATGGATCAGGCATGCCAGAAGATTCTTTCCCGGGTGTATTGCCCTAGATGACATAAGATGTGATGTGGATGAGAACCTGTGGCCAAATGGAGAAGACCGAGTAGATTAGCATATTGAATCTGTATCAGTGGATGTTGTGTTGACAAAGTCTTGTGTTTTGGAAGTACTTAGTGCAAAAACAAATACCATTAAAGTAAATGAACAACATGAAATATTGACTAATTCTGCATCATGTCTGATTCATTCCAGTAACATCTGTTGGAAGTATGAACAGAGATGTGTCCTTGTTTTACACAAGAACATGTAACGCTACATGTTGTTAGTGTTTTTTAGGTCTTTGTTTGGTGGGTGACAAAGTGTGTTTGTGGGCTGTCAACCTTTGCTAGTGTTCTGGAGGAATGTGTTTATGTGAGACCTGAATGAAGTGTTTTGGTGGTTGTAGTGCATTTTGAATGTGAAATGAACAGTTTTGCCAAGCTGAAACTCAGTTTGGAGAACTGTGTGAAGTGTCTGGCAAAAGTGACATTAGTATTGAGAAATGGGTCCTAACGTCTGTAAAAACCTGTAACTTGCAATAACCCCAAACTCAGAGAAAACATTCGTTTGTGTCATCATGGGGAAATATGAAGGAGTAAAAATAATTTACTTGAAATCTGTTGTTCGCGGTGAAAATTCCAACTTTACTTAATTAGATCATTTCCAGAGTTTCACAGATGGACTGTGTGAGCCAGCAGAAAGTGTTGACCAGCTTTTACAGGTGTTGTCAGTCAATCAGCTGCCTTTGCAGAGTTCTGTTTGTATTCACACGGGTGGCAGTTTACAGTTTTTCTCAATTGCTAAAGCACAATTCCTGAAACCTTGCTCTCTTTTCTTAAAACATTAAACACAAAACCTCAGCTTCAAGCACGATTTACAAAACCTCTCATTCCTCTTGCAAAATCAAACTTTTGCCTCAAAACAGTTTTAGCTGTGCTCAAAATCAAACACTACTCTCAAATCATAAACAAATTACTCAAAATAACATACACCATCAAGCAGTCAGTAAACAATACACCAAAAAATAGAAAGCACAATGTTCAGGGCCATACGATTTGTTTATTGTACCATATAGAGCCTATTGTGCTACAGTGTTCAATGACAGTGAAAAAAATACATAAAATGAAAAACATCAAAGGACTAAACATGTTATCAATGGGCCTCTTCTTGTCTGTGGGCTGGGTCAGGCCACAGCTCTTCATCGACATCACATGCAATATTTTCCCTCCTGAGGCTCAAATTGGGTTGCACTCCAAGTCCTGCTTCCCTCATTGTCAGCGCATGGACAACAACACGGTCTATGATTGTTGCTCAAATTTCATTGGACATTTCCACTCTTTGTCTCGCTCTTCCTCTTCATCCTCCTCTTTCTCTTTCTTGCCCTCCTCCTCATCCCCCACCTCGCATACACACCCGTCCTTGTCCTCTCACATGAATTCTTCTATCCATTGTCACACTTTCTCATTCCCACCTTCAACAACCTGTTTGCTCTCTGAACTTGCTTATATTGGTCGTCACGTCATTTCAAACAAGTGAAATCTATTTTGGCTGATTGTGTTCAATCAATGACATTTGTGCTCTTGTTATGGGTAAGTGTGTGCCACTTGTGTTTACTCTTATGGACGACGTGTACATTAGAGTGCAGAATGTGTTTTAAGAATGAGAATGTGTTTAGAGTTTTGCTAAACCGTGTGAAATGTTTAAGGTTTTGACAACAGGCTCAACAGTTAGCTTAATGAGTTCAAGCAACTGAGAACTTTCTTCAATGGATTTTAGTGTTTTAGCAATAGAGAAAAACTGTAAGCGCTATTTTTGCAAAACTCTACACACAAATAAAAACCTTTCACCCAATTATCAAAACATTGTAGTTCTCTTGCAAAAACAAACACAGCTTGATTAGCTCTTCACACATTCGTAAAAATGGTGTTTTCATATCAAACAGTACACACAGGCCATCATCTACTAAGCACACAACGCGTCAACTGTACACTGGTGACATAAATACAAAACACATCTGGCTTTTGCTTTCTCTGTAAACAGATGTCAATTTGAGGTCATACTTTTGTCGTAGTGTCATGCAAACATACACGGATCCAAACTTCAAGTATTGGTGTTTATTCACACTCGTCAAAACCAAGACAAAGTCAGAACACAAAATAGTCATTTCACAAAAAACAAAACAAAAAAAGGAAAACAATAAATGACAATCAGCCTACATCATGTTGTTTTCTGGGTCCAGCCACAAAATTTCATCCACATTGCACGCAATATCCTCCAGTCCAATGCACCGGGGAAAATATCTCCTTGAATGCCGTATCCAAGCCTGGCATGATGCCTGGTCAAGATCTCCACATGCCTCCTCCATTGCCTGTAAAAGGGCTACCTGTTGATGAGGATGACGGTCGTACACTTTCCAGCGCCAGGCAGAGAAGAACTCCTCGATGGGAATGGAGAGTATGGAGGGAGGTTGAGTGCCGTGCTGGATGGGTGGTCTGTAAACCAGTTGCGGACTAAAGCAGCTCTATGGAAACCAACATTGTCCCATATGTTGACATACCAGGTATGCTCTGGTCTCTGAACAGTGAGCATTGATCATGCCATGTAAGGTGTCCAGGAATGCAATAATGTGTGCAGTGTTGTATGGGCCTATGGTTGCATGATGGTAAACAACACCATTTTGGCTTATAGCTGCACACATGGTTATGTTACCACCACGTTGTCCTGGGACATGGACGATGACACAGTGTCCAATAATGTTCCTGCCACGTCTCCTGGCTTTACTGAGGTTAAAACCAGCCTCATGTACAAAAAATAGCTCATGTACCATGGCACCTGCTGCCATCACTCTCTGGACAAGACAACACAAATGCAGCACATCAGGCCCATGCACAGCACAACAGTATGCAATTCCAAATTCAGAACCAATGACACCATAGCTTACCTGCACATAGTCATATCGCAGTTGCTTTGCACGTTCTGTGTTTCTGTCGAAAGGAACTCTGTAAATTGGCCTCATTCTTATTCCGTGGCGCACAAGTACACGACTTAGTGCAGAAATGCTTGCACTGTGTATATTTTGAAAGATGGTGTCATCATCAATTATGCGCTGCTGTATTTTGCACAGTCTTATTGCATTATTGGCAATCACCATGTTCACTACATGGGCCTCTTGCTCTGGAGTGAACATGCTTCCTCTGCACCCAACATCTGGATGTCTAGCAATTCTGTAAAGTAACTATTTCAGTATGTTTGCATGTATGGTACTGTTGTGTTTCTCATTAGAGCATGGCAGTGCTACAAATACTTACCGATTCTCATTTTGAGATGTCCTAATGATGCTTGCCACAGTGTAGCAGGCTGAACCCGTTGACCAGCTTCCCTCAGGGTCATCCCATGGTTGACGACATGGTCCACTATTGTGGCTCTGATGTCACCAGCTATTCTATTCCTTACTCTTCTTACCATTCCTCTCTTCCCTCCTCATCCTCTTCTTGCTCCTCCTTGTCCTCTTCCTCCAGCTTCTTCACCTCCACGTCCTCTCCCTTGGCCTCCTCCGATTCTGACTCGCCACACTCTTACTGCTCCTTCCATTGTACTCCACATTGACAGCTTACCTGTGGCTTATTTATTGTGCTTAGGCTGACTGCAAAGTGAACAAATGATCTAAAACAGTGTTCACATGTGAAAGTGTGCCAGACAGTAGGCAAAATAGTGTTAATGATAACCATACATGTGTATAATTTTGCTAGGAGTGTGTTGGAAATTTGGTAATTGAGTGTAAGCAGTGAGTTGCGTTTAAAGTTCTGCAAAAAGAGTATCGTGCAGTGAATTGTGCCTACTGTTTTGCAAAGTGTGTGTTACAAAATTGCAAACGGAGTGCAAAGCAGTGTTTGTGCTTTCAGTTTTGCAAACGCAGTGAGTGGTTTTGCTATAAGTATTATTAGTTTTAGAAATTGTGCCATAAGAATCACAGTTAGGGTTTTAGCCATCAGAAAAAAAACTGTAAGGTAGGGTTAGGGTTAGAAAGTAATAAAAGAGTAATCAAGAGAGTAGTAAATAAAGTAATACCATTCAAATACATTTAATGTTGAAGCATTTGTAAGATAATCTCTCTGAGATACAGTACATCCCTTTTTCTTTGAAATTGCATGAAATGGTAGTTGTTGTGTGTGTGTGTGTGTGTGTGTGTGTGTGTGTGTGTGTGTGTGTGTGTGTGTGTGTGTGTGTGTGTGTGTGTGTGTGTGTGTGTGTGTGTGTGTGTGTGTTCAGAAGCTCTGAAAACTGGGAGGGGCTTGGAGTAGAGTGTCTGCTCCACTAGCTTGGAGAGGTGGGAGGCAAATTAATTTGCGATTTCCCAAATGGCGGATTTCAGGCACACGATTCCTAAAACCTAACAAAGACAGAAAACCTATTGACAGATTTTATTCACATTTGGAGTGTTTATAGAAGCAGATCCCTGTCAAATTCTTGTCCCGAGTCAGTCTGCAAACCTCTGGTGATATGTTGTTGTTAGACACTTAAAAGGAAATTCCTGAAACAAAATAAGAAACTGGGGCCAGTCTGGACCTGTTGGATCGTCTGGCACATGCAGCCTCGGAGCTTCTTCGCTGATGATGTTGAAACAGGAGGATTGCTGAGGTCCCGTAATGAGTCAATTCAGAAAACACGGCCTCCGGGGACACTTTTGCTGTTAGAAAAAAATGAACCAATTTTAATTCGTATAGAATCAATGCATGACTTGAATGAAATGTCCCGTTATTCTAAAACTGTCTTAAGGTCTGATTTCATGTTTTTATGTGTGTCACAGTGCTGTGGGTAAAACATGTCTCCTCATCAGCTACACAACCAATGCATTCCCCGGGGAATACATTCCTACTGTGTGAGTATAACACACACACACACACACACAGGCTTTTGATATCTTTTCATAAACCAAGCACACACGAGCTGCAGTAAAAGCCTTCCTGCTTAGAAACGGACTCGTCAGGACTGGTAACAACAGGGCGGAGGAGAAAACACACACTTCATTTTGAAGTCACACTTCTTCACAGTTTCAGCTCTTTAGAACAGGAGTGTTCAGTCACACACATTTCATCCTACCTGTTACTGTCACACCCCGGGCCTCTAAAACAGGACAGAAGGACACGTTGTTCTCTGCTGTTTGTTTACTCAGCAAATTGTTTGGTGAAACATAGATTTTCCCTGAATGAATGTTTTGTCAGTATTTACGTAAAAGTTAGGAAGTCAGACTTTAATTGTGGATCTCAGATTATTTTACATGTTCCTGAGTCAGAAATATCTCTAAAGAATCACTAGAGTAAGAGTAGATGTTATCTGTCTTTAACTCTAAAGCCAACTGGAAAAAAGGGATGATGACGTTCGGAAGCAACAAAAGTTCAACATGTAAACATTTTATGATATTTTAGGTGTTTTCTTGATTGGTTATGTCCATTTTTGCAACAGTTTGGTTTATTTCTATAGCTGCACACCTGGTTATGTTACCACCACCATCAGAAAGAAAGAAAGAAAGAAAGAAAGAAAGAGAAAGAAAGAAAGAAAGAAAGAAACCAGCTTTAGGCTAATTTCCATTTATGTGGCAAGTAAATGCATATTTATTTATTTATTTATTTAAGCATTTACATTCTAATAGTCATGCAGATTTCACAACAAACCTCAAAGGGAGCAGGCTGAAGCAGGGAAGGTTATGTTCACCTACCCCTCATATGAAGACATGACACACAAACGCGGTCATAATTACTAAGTTCAATCCAAACATGCATTTAAAACACATATATTGATTCAAACCAGTCAAGTTAGCTATTTTATAAATAAAGTAAGTACCTTAGTTTATTACAAACTATTTTAAGGCTAGACAGAAATCTGGGTGCAAAAATTAACTATTGACCAGGAAAACAAATTCAACACAATAAAGAAAACAAACTGCTGCATTGCAGTGTCTCTGTGTGACCACAGGGTGGCAGTGTTGCTCAGAGATTCTAACAGCAGGAACCCAGGTGGTATCTTTAGTGTCAGACATCACAATCCTAAAAACCTTCTCTGTCAGTCCAGTCATCTTAGAAACTCAGTCTTAGGGCTGGTAACCTCAGGGTACCTCACGACACGATAACATTCACGCCACATGACTCACGATATGATATTATCAGGATACGGCGATATGGCAAAAGTTAGCCTACAACATGTTTAACCTTTTAAATTTATTATGCCCTGAAATTATTAAAATACAGTTGGTAAACGTCAACTGCTTTTAAATGTTTAACAGTCAGTCAATGTAAAAACAAATGTAAATGTCTTACAGTTACTCGTATAGGAAAGTCCATGCATACAAACATTTAAGTGCCTTACACCGACACAAGTGTGTAAAATAATAAGCTGCAGGAAGACGTTTCTGCAGTAAAGAAACCATAAAAAAACAAATGTTTCTTTCCGCAGACAGCCATGAGTCCTCTGCTCTAGCCCTGGCCTGTTTGTGCGTGGCAGGAATCGTTTTGTCAGTGAAATGTCTGGCTTGCTATGATACACCTGGGTTCACCGATGCGCATCATAAAGCAAAATCTGTCCTTCTCAACAGTGCTGTGCGCACAAAGAGACTGATTTACGCATCTGCGTCAGCTTCACAAGCGAGAGACTCACACGCATTCACAGAGACTTCTTCAAGCTGTTCTGTGTCTGCCGCTATATCTTCAGCTTCCTTTATGTTTCTGAGAGCACCACGGCAATGCTGTGGATGAAAGCAGCGCCCTGACCAATCACAAGCTTGGCCAGGGCGCATCGTTTTCATCCAGCTTTGTTTCATCCACACAACTAATCCAAAGTGAGCCCTAACTTTAGGACAAGCTGGTGAATCTTTTAATACTTTTCTTTCCCCACTGTTCAACTCCGCCATATTGTCCCTGATGTTCTTCTTCTTCACCAGGTGTTTTTAGTTCATTCTCATGAGGAGAGCTCCCTAATGGACCTCTGCGGTAGTGGTTAAAAAGCCGATCAATGGAAAGAGCATACTGGTACTCGTTCGTGAGTTGAAATATCGCAGTATTTCACCGGATCGGTATTTTGTCCCACCCCATTCATAGTTTATGTTTAATACATTTAAATCTATTTTGAAATAATTTCTTTTCATGATATATTTTTTCTCTCAAATTCAGGTTGAAACCTGTTAAATAATCAAACTTCCTGCGTGTGTCACTCATAAATCACATGATTGGTTGTTTGAATTTAACACCCGGTTGACTAATGACTGACCTTTTATTTTCTCGACAGCTTTGACAACTACTCAGCTAATGTGATGGTGGACAGCAAGCCAGTGAACCTGGGACTCTGGGATACAGCAGGACAGGAAGATTACGACAGGCTCCGCCCACTCTCCTACCCACAGACGGTATAAAATAATTATATGTGCATGTGTTTGATCAGAAAGCAGAACCCATTTAATCTCCAACTGTGAAACTGAAAGTTTAATTTGCAGCTGTCCAGCCCACAGCCGTCCGACTGAAGCGTGTCCTCATTAATTCTAATGACAGGAACGGAAATAAGAGGAGAATGTTCCTCAGGAGAGGGCAGATAAGAAAAGGAAATTAAATGTAAAGTGAATAAGTGGCTGGCTTTTGGGGTTAAAAAAATACTGACATATTAAAGATAAACAAATCCTGAGGGAACATTTAGTTCCTGTTTATGTTTAAAACTGCCTTTCTGCTCACCCCATTCCAGGATGTTTTCCTGATCTGTTTCTCCCTGGTGAGCCCGGCCTCCTACGAGAACGTCAGAGCTAAGGTGGGTTTTACGTCTGTTGTAGAAAACATCTAACAAAGTCAGTCTTATCACTAAAAATGAGACTGTTTCCATCCGTAAAATGACCCATCATGCATCAATGCATCACAGAATAATGTATTCAGTTCTGATGAACTGGTTTTGCATGATTAAATCTGTAATATTTCATTTTGTCTCTCAGTTTGTTTCAAAGACATTCAGTAGAGTAAAGTACATAATCTCTCATTGTGATGACATAACCATTAGAAAATGGCAAAAGCCGAAAATACAATCCGCCATGCTGAGCTGAGTCCTTGTTGATGGAGGTTTAAAATAAAAACTCACTGTAAGAAAAATCCACAGAAAGCTGAGGTGGTATGAGTATCTATTAAAAAATAATAAAAAAGAGGTTATAGATGAGTGATAAAATGATTAAAGAAAAACAAAGGAAACACGTTTAAAGAAATGGTTATAAATTAAAAGTCTTTTTAAAAATGCATTAAGTGACAAGTAAAAAAAAACTCATGTTTTGCATCCTTTTGTGCTGCCTTGAGGGTCCCTACTGCCTCTAGAAACCCTCCAAATGTGGAAAAAGTTCATCCATCCCTTTTCTGTCAGATTTTGGTCTCAGGAACGATGTGTCTAAATAAATAATTTTTCACAAAACTCTTGTTTGTGATGTCACAAACAGGCTTTTTGAAAAGGCTTGTTTTTGGCATACAACCACTTCTCAAACGGAAGAGGGAGCTGCTGCTGGATGAGCAGCAATTCTACTTTGAGTCTGAGCTGGGGAGGTGTGGGTGGGGCCAGCTAAAGCTTGTTTTGTTAAAGTGACAGAGCCCTGAAACGGCTCATTCTGGAAGGTACAGAAAAATGTCACAAATAAAACTGCTGAAATCCCTTTATGTGAGATTTAGTGCAAAAAACATCATATATAGAACACAGAACTATTAAAATATTAAAAACAGCCTTAAAGGGTTCCGTTACAACTTTTTGTATTTTAAAATAATTTTATTGAGCCAGTATGTGCTAAAAGGACCCTTTACAGGGTTAATGAAATGCCATCCAGTCCCTATTGCCCCTGTGGACAGAATATTCCACATGCAACTTCAGACTGGTGGGCTGCTCTGTTGGGAAAATTGAGCTGACATACCTGGTGCTGCAGTCTGGTTTCATTACGCTTCCTGCATGTTTTAGATCATGAACACCGCTGATTGATTTAATTTAGTGATAAATCACTCCTCTAGATACCAATGAAGGCTGGGGAGACATTTCAGCTGTTAGATTAAGGTGTTAAAAGACAAACGCACAGTGACAAGATAGGTTTTGCTTTTGGTTCAACAAACGGACACCAGGGGGTGCTAAAAACAGGCAAAAAGTTCTCCTTTAAATGTCTTTTATTCACTTATGTCATGTTTCAGGAACATGTCCTTCCTCTCTCGCTTTCCTCCTTAGTGGTACCCCGAGGTCCGCCACCACTGCCCCTCCACGCCCATCATCCTGGTAGGCACCAAGCTGGATCTGAGAGACGAGAAGGAGACCATCGAGAAGCTGAAAGAGAAAAAGCTGGCGCCCATCACCTACCCACAAGGCCTTGCCCTGGCTAAAGAGATAGGTCAGTCAGGTTTCTTTGTGTGATGAGGACTTGGTGAATAGACACGTACAGATAAGCGCACATTTATGAACTCATAACAGACCCCAGATCAGAAGAAAAAGTATGTCAATCAGAAATGTGTTATGTGACTGTGTTTTTGGTATTCGAAAAATTGCACCAAAACATTTTTCTGCTTTTGAGAGACTTCAACTTTTTTAGTATTTTGTGGTCTTTATGCATGTGTTTGTGTGTGTAGATGCAGTAAAGTACCTGGAATGCTCCGCTTTGACTCAGCGAGGTCTGAAAACTGTGTTTGATGAGGCCATCCGTGCTGTGCTCTGCCCACAGCCTGCCAAGGTCAAGAAGAAGCCCTGCTCACTGCTTTAAAGGTAAAACAAACACATGCGGCTTGTAAAGTTTGCATCTGTTGTTTTAAAGTTTTGTTGTAATGTTAAATTTAATACAGTTATTTTAAAATATTGAAAATGTTGAAAATGCTGCAGGAAAGATACCAGATAGAATCATTTAGACAAACACTGAGAATTTAAGCTGTTTCAGGCTAAACGATTCTGCTGATGATGTCACTTGTGATATAAAATCTTCAGTCAGATCACAGCAGCTGTAATTAATTTTAATGTTTCAGGGCAGTTTTCCAATTTGCAGAGATTTAAGGTAAAAAGTCTTACAATGAAGCAAAAGCCTGACTGACAACCCTCTGAACTGCACTGCCGGAGTGATAATAGAGGTAGAGAGCAGTAACAAAAGACTTTTTCTGGGTTTTTACGATTACCATAATAATTGGATTTAACTTTTGCTATAGTAACATGCCAGGGCGCTGAATATTTTTAAAGTAACAACAAAAACACACTTAAAAAAACTGAGTAAGAAATGAGTCGTTTTCATAAGAACACTATTTCATTTTTTCTCAGACGTGCAGCTTAATATGAAACTGATGTTTTTATTTAAACAGTTTCAGGACCAGAGGAGATAAGGAAGACATTCAGCCTGATCACCTTGTACCCCAAGAAGATTTCTACATTTGTTTGCCGCTAACTTAAACACGTTCTTTGTACTGATAGATAAAATAATGATAAGCGGGTTTTGTGCTCACACGTCGAAGCCTGTTCAGACTGAGAATGAATAATTTCATTACATGCAAAGCATAGGCAACCCACCCCAGTTTGCACACTGTTAGTTCTCCCTGTTAGCTCAGATGTTACCTATTAGCTTCATTTCTTACATATTTCAAGTGATGATAATGTTTTTTGTTGCTAAGAGAAAACCGCGTTTGCATAAAATGTGCATCAAGTGAGATTAAAAGCTATAATTATGATCATAAAGGAAAATTTTATATGAACAAAAGTTTAAAAATGTATTAGAATAAAGTTTGAGAACAAGTGTATCATTTGCTATATCGAAATAAAGCTGCAATTTTACTGTGAAGTGAATTTTTGGAAAATCTATGTGCAACCATCACGTCTTTCACAGTTTTAGAGCTGGGAAGACTAAGTTGGGTCTGTCTGAGATAATGTTGATGTATCTGATGGTGTTTCTGCCATCTGTTCTCAACATCATCTGTTTCACTTTGCTTTGCTGAAGGGCAACACGTCGGAGCAACAATATCAATCCAACTAATTCCTGTTGATTACCAGGAGG